ATCGTAAAAGTGACTGCAAGTAACAGCACTACATTATGAGCCCTGGGAGTATGTTGGGAAATAGAGTTTCGTAAGCTGGAAAGGAGCATAGTTTCATAAGTTGGAAGGTGGCCACGTGCCCTGCCTTAAAGAGGACAGTCCTCTGTTTGAAGAGCTGCCCGAGTCCAGCCCAAGTCTGGTTTAAAGAAAAAGAACATTAAGAAGGAAGAGAGGCAGGGGCCTTGAAGATGCTCTTCCAGTTTGCAATTGGGCAGCAGACTGAGCAGGCACACAGGTTATGCAGGCATTCCTCAATCCATTAAGATGTATTTCTATTTAAATCATAGTAATCCTACATTGGGGACGCAGGTGGCGCTGTGGGTTAAACCACAGAGCCTAGGACATGCCGATCAGAAGGTTGGCGGTTCGAATCCCCGCCACGGGGTGAGCTCCCATTGCTCAGTCCCAGCTCCTGCCAACCTAGCAGTTTGAAAGCACGTCAAACTGGCGGGAAGGTAAATGGCGTTTCCGTGCGCTGCTCTGGTTCGCCAGAAGCGGCTTAGTTATGCTGGCTACATGACTCAGAAGCTGTATGCTGGCTCCCTTGGCCAATAAAGCAAGATGAGCGGCGCAACCCCAGAGTCAGCCACGACTGGACCTAATGGTCAGGGGTCCCTTTACCTTTTCCTTTAATCCTACATTTCCATTTCTACATATGAAATAGCATATGCAGATCTGAGTCCTCTGAATGGGTGTGGATGGAGTGCGGCAGGCAAGGGGCGACCCCAGTGTGGCTCGGCTTCCTCTCTGTGGGCATCGGGGGGGGGGCTGTCCTGCCAAGGGCTGCATCGGCCAGCCAGGCTCCACCCTCCACAGGCAGGCAGCACAATATGACTCTGGTGGGGGAGTCACTCCGGCGGTGTCTGCGGCGAAGTTTGGGCTGACATGGCAGACTCCATTCACCCTCCTTGCCTCGCCCCTGCCTGGCACACACGCCTGGGGCACTGGCAAACCAAGCTACGTCACGGAGAAGACAATCCTTGTGGTCCCTTCCAACTCTATGATTCTAAGAATTGGGGCTCCTTACGGAATATTCTGTCACTGATCGTTATGCTGTACAGTGGTACCTCGGGTTAAGAACTTGATTCGTTCCGGAGGTCCGTTCTTAACCTGAAACTGTTCTTAACCTGAGACACCACTTTAGCTAATGGGGCCTCCCGCTACCGCTGCACGATTTCTGTTCTCATCCTGAAGCAAAGTTCTTAACCCCAGGTACTATTTCTGGGTTAGCAGAGTCTGTAACCTGAAGCGTCTGTAACCTGAAGCGTCTGTAACCCAAGGTACCACTGTATAGTTTATTTTATTTCAGATTGTTGTTTTAGCATTTGTATTTAAAAGTTCTTTTTTGTGTGATTGCTGTTAGCCACTCTGGGCTCTTGTGGGAGCAAGAATGGTGTGTCTGGAATAATAATAATAATAATAATAATAATAATAATAATAATAATAATAATAATATAATCCAATTTGTATTCTCTGGCAAAACCTAGTAATTAAAACAACAACAACCCTGTTGCCAACAACCTGTCTGTGATATCTGAATGACCCATTTTCATAATTTAGAATCCCCCATCCGGCCATCTCAAAGCACCCTAAGGCAAAAATCTCGCAAGATGTGAGCTAACGCACCATCCCAACAGGTGGTCTGGGGGAACATGGACCAGAATTGATAGATTGGTAAGCTTGCATGGTTGGGCACTATTGCAGCTGGGGGAGCCGGAAGGGATTTGAAAGCTGGAAGGGAATCTAAAAATCTAGGTCAAAAAGACTAGATGTGCATATCTTCCCTTCAAGATGCCATTGATAATTTTCTAAAAGGCAACATGTTTTAATTAGGTCACTGCTCATCAAAGCATGTAACAAAGAGAAGAATGTGCATGAAATCCAGAGCAGCATGATCTACTTGGAATGAATGGCTGTCCCTTATGGGAAGGTCTTTAGGAACAGAGATGCGGGTGGGGGAAAGGGGAAATTATCAGTTTCCCTTCTCAAAAGTAAGGAGGAGGTCAGCTCCCAGCAGCCAGCCTATAAAGGCAAGCATGTAAAAATAGAAATGTACATTTTGTGTGTGTGTGTGTGCACGCAAATGTGTCTGAGTTTAACTCACATGAGCATTTTTTCATTCCTTGCCAAACTAGGATCGCCAGATGCTCTGGTTTTCTGTTCCGTATTGCAGGAACATCATTCACAGAAGCAGAAAATGTGGCCGGCGAACTGCTCCTGTATTGTTATTCAAAATGCTACAATTCCATGAAGCGGCAGACCATATGACTCTTTTTTGAAATCGTGGTCCTGGCAGCCTACTGCAAAGGATCTTTCTCAGCTGAAACTACCTGTGAGTATTGAAAGCAGCAAGCCCTTGGACTCCGCATTTGCAGCCTCAGCAGTGAGTCAAAGATGGTTTGGCAATCTTCAGACTCCAGGTTTAATGGCCTTGGCATTCCTCCATCTGTAGATGGCAGAGTGCATTGCTGCACGTAAGAACCATCCTCATCATGCATTTAAAGCATTCTTGCATCACCCCCCCCCCCGCAAGAATCCTGGGTCAAAGATCTTTCTCTCCATGGTTGTGGGTTGGCTGTGGAGTCAGGGAAGTCTCCATCCCAGTGCACAAACATGGCCCTTTGCCTGATATGTTCTTGTACCTTTCACAGAAGACCATTGAAACATGCTAGCAGAAGGGCTTTTTTTCAGCTGAAACTCACCAGAACTCAGTTCTGGCACCTCTCAGGTGGGCGCTATTGCCACGATAAGAGAACAAGGAGGGCATTCCTGGTGAGTTCTTCTGGTACACCTTTTTTTTTCATAGAAAAATAGCACTGACTAGTAGACGTGGGTGGCACTGAGGGCTTGCCGATTACTAGGTCGGCGGTTCAAATCCCCACGATGCGGGGAGCTCCCATTGCTTGGTCCCTGCTCCTGCCAACCTAGCAGTTCGAAAGCATGTCAAAGTGCAAGTAGATAAATAGAGTTGGCCACGACTGGACCTAATGGTCAGGGGTCCCTTTCCATTTACCTTTAGTAGCATCTATTCTCAAACCAAGAATTGTACTCTGACCCCAGCATCCCCTTCCATCGTTATTGCACACTGTAGACTAAAACAAAAACAAAATACCTTACAGCTAGTTTGTTACATTTCAAGAGGCAAGTTTGCTACCTTGACTCTTGTTTGTAAGAATTAAGCCGTAATTCTTCTCCTAGATGTTTTTAATGTATGCCTAAGCATGGAAGCGCAGTAAGGGGGGAGAGACAGGCATTTGCAAAGATTATCATACAGCTGTTCTTGCCAGGGGTAGCAGTGGCAGCATACACACCATGTATTTAATTTGGAAATTGCTTAATTGTTTAATTTGGTTTTGTACTTTTTGATGTTTTTTATTGTTTATGACTAATTTTGTTATGTTTTAAATATGTACTTTTTCATGTTGAAACCTGCCTTGTGCATGGTTTTAACTATGAAAATGTGGCATGCAAAACAAATGTATGTATGTCAGTGGCGTAGCGTGGGGGGTGCAGGGGGGGCTGGCCACACCGGGTGCAACATCGGGGGGGGGGCGTTCGCTGCCTCCGGAGTTGCCGAAGAGCCTCAGGCGCAGGCTGTAGCAGAACCCCATGTCTCGCGGAACCGACGAGCTGGCAGCGGCTCTCAGTGCTCGCCGCGGTCCCCGCGCGTCAGGGCCGCGGAGGGTGCGCCAGGCAGCCCCTCCTCACAGCCCCGCCGCCGCCGCTGCTGCAGCTGCTGGGCCGTGTTGCATTTTCCTCGCCTCTCTGCCCTCCTCCTCCGGGCAAGCGGCGTCGTTTGGGCGGCAGCGCCAGCGGCAACTCGCCTCAGATCACCTGACACGGACCCCCCACCGCCGCCGTGGCTACCTTACCATAAATACCCCAGCCCAGGCAGCAACAAGAAGAAGCTGGCAGCGACGGCAGGTTAGGGGTTAGGGGGCGCAAATTACTTGCCTTGCCCCGGGTTAGGGGGCGCAAATTACTTGCCTTGCCCCGGGTGCTGACAACCCACGCTACGCCGCTGATGTATGTATGTATGTATTTAAAGCATATCACTTTTTCCAATGAATCCTGGGAATGGTTGTTTACACTTCACAGAGCTACAGTTCCCAGCACCCTTAAACTACAGGTCCCAGGATTTTCTGAGGGAAAGCCATGTACTCAAAATGTGCCTTATAAGTACAATGTGAAGTGCCGGATTTATGTATAAGCTAAACAAGCTATAGCTTGGGGCCCGACTCTCTTGGGCCCCACCAAAAAATTAAAGGTGAAAAAACTGGATGTACATTTCCAAAATATAAGATAAAAAATAAAATAAAACCTACCTACAGCAACAGTGTTTTGTGTTGTGTAGGCTCCTATGATGTAAGTAATGGGCCCCGCCTGCTAGTCTGCTCCCTAAAATATCGCATATAAAGGGCCCCATTACCTTCAGTAGCTTAGGGCCTCATCAAACCCAAATCCTGCCCTGACAATGTGCACCCATTGTGTTGCTGCCCCTTAATATTTGAGATGTACCAGGAATTATTCCTGATAAACTAACATATTCTGGTTTCTGTCCTCTCAAACAAACTCAGCCCAGCTCTGTAATGCAAAGAGCAAAGGAATTGCTCCTTTTTACCTCCTTAATTGCCTGCAACCCACAGGTTATCAGGTGTGAAGGGAAACTAATTTCCACCAGGTGATCTTTGCTTGCGCACCCTTATTTACTAGTGAGCCGGCCTGAGAAATCAATGTTTGCAATATGCGTGCCATTTCCTTTACTGAGAAGATAAATTCTCCATTGGGAAGGGGGTGCTTTTCACTGCCTGACAAAGCCGGTCAAAAGGGCAGCAGCTGGGAGGGCAGGCAGGCGGCTGTTCAGATGGGAAGATTTCCCCGGAGACACGGGGGACCTGCCTAGCCGTGAACCCATAAAAGCCATTTACCCATAAAAGGGACTGGGCGGAGTTTGCCTCCTTGCAGCCAAAAAATGGAGCTGGGAGAGGGAGGGCAGCAGACAGCTGGTGGGACTGGAGAAAGGCAGTTTCCTTTGCAGCCCTGGCTCTAAGCCTGTAATTGCTGGGAGACAAAAAGGAGGCGATCAAAAAAGGCAAAAACCTGCCTTGCCTTTTAGGTTAGAAGCTCTGTGTTCTAGCTGGGAAAGAGAGGCTGTTATTTGGGAATCTTCGCTATGGAAAAGTGGGCACTTTCTTCCCTGCCCTTGGGATGGGCATTTGTCCATGGAGTCTTGACTTGATAGCTGAGGTTCATCCTGTGTGACCTCAGATGGGACCCAGGGTCATGCCTTTTTGGTTACCTAGGCTCAGGTGACAGGGTCCTGCTCTTACCTCCTACCTAACAGCCTCTGTCACCTGCTCTCTTTGATATCTGGAAAATCAGGTCTCCCTAGATCCCATGCCTCTGCCCTCCAGGCTTCCTCATCCCCTGAGGTGTGAGCGGGAGAGAAAAGAGCGGGGGAGACCTCTTTGGTAATTTCTGCTTTCCTGAAGAGCCACACAACCCCACTCACTGGCCCCTTCCTCTTGCATTCCCGGGGTATTTATTAGACAGGCCTTGGCCTATCCTTGATCTATGCCATTCTCAACTTTGTGGGAAAGCACACAGGCTAGAGCAGGATTTGCACTTCAAGCTTTGAACCTCGCCCATCTCCTCGCTGCGGGATCGAAAGCCATGCGCTGGCGTCTCCTCCAGGCCTCCTCTGGAGTTGTTCTCTTTCTTGTGAGCATGGTGCTCCTTTCCACGAGGCGTTCCGGCATCCAGGAAGCGGTCGACAACCAGAGACTTTCAGGAGGGATATCTGGCAGATGGGCATGGAGGGAGATGATGCTGGCGGGTGTGGCAGATTGGAGAAACAGGAGGGAGACTGAGCATGGAAAACAACTCAACGGCCACGATGATGGTATGGCATATTCTGCTGCTGGAAAAGGCCTCTTGCTGGAAGAGCTTTTCATCGCTGTCAAGACAACCCAGAAGTTCCACCAGTCCAGGATGGGATTGCTGCTGGAGACCTGGATCTCCCAGGTTAAAGGACAGGTTGGTATGAGGGTGAGAGGGAGGGTTGACTGGTCCGCTGACACCAGAATGCCTAAGGGAAGAACCTGTGTGTGATTCTCATATGCACTCATGCGCACGCATTGCCTAGAACCAAATGATGCCTTAAGCCAGGATTGGTCATTTGGAAGCCTCAGGGCTGGAAACGTCCCCAGATGTGATTTGATTTAGCCCCAAGCCCTGGTGTTGCCTGCTTTTAATCAAAGCATAGTAAAAAAGAAAAATAAGAAAAGTGCCTGCTGTTGCACTTACAAAAAAGAGTATGTTTTTACAACGAAGCTGCCTTATACCAGATTCTAGTCTTTCCACCGTTCATTATGCTGATGGCCATCTGTCTCATTCATCATTTTATTTTACCCAAGAAAAGTAACATCAGTGTGTCTCTCGGAGAACTTCAAAGCAAGCCCAGGGAGCGAGCCGCATAGATTTGGAGGAGACTGATAATGGGGGAGGGAGGGATGCAGAGCAGAGCATGGTGGTGTTTTTCTCAGCCAAATCCTGAGTCCTGAATCAAATCAGGCTGGTTTGGATCAACCCAGGATTCCACCATATTGGGTGGAGGCAGCCCCTGGTCACTCTGGGTTGGATCAGGTCCAGCTGAAGCAATCTGGGGCTGTCAAAAGGGGTGCAGGATCTGGTGGTAGCGGGGGGGGAGGAGGAGATATATAGGGTTTTAAACCTTAATTAGACACTGTGCAAGGTCCTCAGATTGGTTCAGAGTCTGATGCCGAGTTGAGTTTGTCTCAGGTTGGACTGGTGCCTCTTCAAAGTGCCCAACCGAGCCCTGAATTTGATCTGGGAGAGGCATGCACAGCCCAACTGTTCTAACTATGCTTCCTGTGTGTGGGAAAGGTTGTCCCTGAACTAGCTCCCCAATGCCTCTCAGGGCTTTTTAAGCTGCCTTAGGAACACTGGCCTTCCAAAACACTTGTTTATGAGCTTCTCCACATGTTAAAGGTAAATGAGCAAAACATATTTGGTGAGGCAGATTTCATACTGTTTTCACTCATGAGGAAAGTAGAATTGGTTGACTCTGAGGCAGACAAAGGATTGCATTCATGTAATGTGTGAAACAGGCCTAGGAATTAATACATTCGTTTATGTATGAGTATATACTGTGCTTTTTTTCCTAAGAAAAATGTTTAGGGGTACTCTCATTTTCCTACTCATATTGAAATACTGCTCCTCAATGAGGCCAAACTTAGATTCACAAAATATTTAAGGGTATGCATATGCCTGTGACCCCCCCCCCCGAGAAAAAAATTACTGAGTACGGTATATCTCTCTCTCACACACATAAAAAAAGGTAAAGGACCCCTGACAGTTAAGTACAGTCTCGAATGACTCTGGGGTTGGGGCGTTCATCTCGCTTTACTGGCCGAGGGAGCCGACGTTTGTCTGCAGACAGTTTTTCTGGGTCATGTGGCCAGCATGACTAAGCTGCTTCTGGCGAAACCAGAGCAGAGCACGGAAATGCCGTTTACCTTCCCGCCGGAGCGGTACCTATTTATCTACTTGCACTTTGACGTGCTTTTGAACTGCTAGGTTGGCAGGAGCTGGGACCAAGCAACGGGAGCTTACCCCGTTGCAGGGATTCGAACCGCCAACCTTCTGATCGGCAAGCCCTAGGCTCAGTGGTTTAGACCACAGCGCCACCCACGTCCCTCTTTCACACATACACAAAGCAAAATGTTGAGGACCTTGCAAAATGTACGCAGATAGTTTGCCACCACACCAGCACCCAATGCTCTTTCAGGGGCGGACAGTTCTGTTGACATATCATTTAGAAATTCACATCTCCAATTGGTGATTTAAGGAGCGAATGTGCCATATTCAGCCCTGCTATATTCCCAGCAAACGTGTTTTTTCTCCCCTCCCTCATATTTTTTGTTGTGGTTGCTTCGTCCCCCTGGTTCCTTTTCTTTATCGCTGTCCCTCAGCTCCTTCATTCTTCCAGAGTCAAGAGGCTCACAATAAAACCCAGGCTGGATTTGTGAAAAGGCCTCGCCACCGCCAGGCCCAGGGGAGGCCCACGTGCCTGGGCGACTGTCTGAATGACTTTGCCCATATTTCAGTACATAATGCAAGTACACTGTTTAACCAGCCTGCAGGCAGCTGGTGGGGAGATTGTTTAAGGCTTGTCTCTCTCTCTTTCAGTCCCCTTGGCTTCTTGAAAGCCCATTTTCCGCTTGAGAGGAGGTATTCTTTGCTGGACGCGATCCCCACTCTGCCCTTGGGATGGAAGAACATGCCACATGATGTTGTCGAGAGGGCCGGGGAGGGACTGAGGGGAAGAGGAGGAGGAGGAGAGTAGGGAAAACAGCAGAGAGCTTATAGGTCTTTTACACGCGAACAGATGTTCTTTTCTGAATTCAACTTTCCTTTCACTACAAAGCTCCTGTTTAATCTGCTGTCAGATATCTTGCAAACATCACAGCAGGATTCTCGGGGGACAAACCTGAGCCTATTCGATGGTCACCCCTTGGGCTCATGAGTTATTTAGGAATGCTGGATCAGACCAGGTTCTCCAGCCCCAGGCTGGTGACTAAAAAGCTCAGTGTGAGCTGGCTCAGCACAATGAAACCTATATATCGAAAGCATCTGTTCTACAACAATGACTCATACCTATATCAGATATTATTGGGGCTCCAGAGCCCTAGCAGAACCCCCTGGTGCTACAGTAGGCGCTTACACATTGCGCCCCCCCAAAAGGAAATACACCTCCCTCTCCAAAATAGGTCAAAAGAGAACATACGTTTGCAAAAACGAAACAAAAACCCACACAATGCAAATTTATATCAATAGATAAAAATCTAGAAGAACTATAAGTTAAATAGACCAGGGATTACTGCTATGGGTATGTGCATGCCTGTTCGGTTTGCTGTATAGGTTCTAACTGTTTCCCCCCTCACATATTTTTTTTATTGAATTTTAATAAGGACAAACAGGTGACAGAAAAAAAGAAATGAAGGGAAAAATAAATACAGATAAGTTGTCACAGTTGCCAATAAAGAAATACAGGGAACAGTCAGTGCAATAATAAAACGTACTGAAAGGAAAAAGACGCGTAGTTTATAATTGCAATGAGTTCTGCAGTTTAAATCAAAACAATTAGAAATTTTAACGCAAAAAAGATGATAAAACATATTCCATCAAAACACACGCATAGACCTGTGGTATCTGACACTCCTGTGCTTGTATATAAAATAAAATTAGATCAAATGGCAAAGCTGCGATCTTGAACACTTGGGAACCCTGGACGCATTTAGGTTATGCAATATTTTTTCCAAGAAGGGTGATTTGTCAAGTCTTGGAATAGCAATAGTCTAGATTACTGAGATCAAAAGTTCTGCAAAACTTGGCAGTTGTGGCTCTGGTTGCTGTCAAAGGATGCAAAATCAGTTCCTTGTTATTCAGGTCTTGATCCGAATCTGCAAACAGATTCAAAAGAGAAGACAAGGGGGCGGGATGAATTTTGTCCAGTTATCAATGGATTCTCAGAAAATACTTCCATCCAGAACCCTTTAACCTTGAGGCAGTACCATCACACATGTCAGTGGGTTCCAATACTCTGGCACCCCATCTAGCATAAGGGGGGAAGGCATCTATATGGGGCCTTGAATCAGAGCATTTTCCAGTCTTCTTCTATCTGCACTCCACAGGTGCTAACTCCTACTCTCCCCTGTGGTGGTTCTTTAGCTTTAAACTGGACTTGAACTGGACCGCCCTCCAAAAAGAGAGCTCCTTCAAATAGAGGACTATCCTCTGACCGCCTTTCAAACAGAGGACTGACCTTGGTAAAGTAGGACACATGGCCACACTAACAGAGGCTGGTGCCTGCCCTGACCAAATGTCATGCTGATCTGGGGCACTGTGGAAAATTGAAAATGGCTGTCCACAACTACTGCCAGAAGAACATGCATCCGAGGAAGTGCCCGAAAATACACTTTGCTGAAATCCTTTTCATAACTGAAGCTGGCCACGATCTATCTATGTTATATTTGTTTTAAAAGCAATTTCTCAATGGGTGAGGTTGTTGTTGTTGTTGTTTAGTTGTTTAGTCATGTCCGACTCTTCGTGACCCCATGGACCAGAGCACGCCAGGCACTCCTGTCTTCCACCGCCTCCCGCAGTTTGGTCAGGCTCATGTTTGTAGCTTCGAGAACACTATCCAACCATCTCATCCTCTGTCAGCCCCTTCTCCTTGTGCCCTCCATCTTTCCCAACATCAGAGTCTTTTCCAGGGAGTCTTCTCTTCTCATGAGGTGGCCAAAGTATTGGAGCCTCAACTTCACGATCTGTCCTTCCAGTGAGCACTCAGGTCTGATTTCCTTAAGAATGGATGCGTTTGATCTTCTTGCAGTCCATGGGACTCTCAAGAGTCTCCTCCAGCACCATAATTCAAAAGCATCAATTCTTCGGCGATCAGCCTTCTTCATGGTCCAGCTCTCACTTCCATACATCACTACTGGGAAAACCATGGCTTTAACTATACGGACCTTTGTTGGTAAGGTGATGTCTCTACTTTTTAAGATGTTGTCTAGATTTGCCATCGCCTTTCTCCCAAGGAGCAGGCGTCTTTTAATTTTGTGACTGCTGTCACCATCTGCAGTGATCATGGAGCCCAAGAAAATAAAATCTCTCACTGCCTCCATTTCTTCCCTTTCTATTTGCCAGGAGGTGATGGGACCAGTGGCCATGATCTTCGTTTTTTTGATGTTGAGCTTCAGACCATATTTTGCGCTCTCCTCTTTCACCCTCATTAAAAGGTTCTTTAATTCCTCCTCACTTTCTGCCATCAAGGTTGTGTCATCTGCATATCTGAGGTTGTTGATATTTCTTCCGGCGATCTTAATTCCAGCTTGGGATTCATCCAGCCCAGTCTTTCGCATGATGAATTCTGCATATAAGTTAAATAAGCAGGGGGACAATATACAGCCTTGTCGTACTCCTTTCTCAATTTTGATCCAATCAGTTGTTCCATATCCAGTTCTAACTGTAGCTTCTTGTCCCACATAGAGATTTCTCAGGAGACAGATGAGGTGATCAGGCACTCCCATTTCTTTAAGAACTTGCCATAGTTTGCTGTGGTCGACACAGTCAAAGGCTTTTGCATAGTCAATGAAGCAGAAGTAGATGTCTTTCTGGAACTCTCTAGCTTTCTCCATAATCCAGCGCATGTTTGCAATTTGGTGAGGTACTCAACACCAAAACACTTGCTGTGGTGGGGGTGGGGTGAATGCCATTCTACAAAGACGTTAGTGACCTGTTCCACTGAATGATAAACACCCTCGCAAAACCGCAGTGTGCAGGGTCCTTTGGGAAACACCAGCTTCAGATCCATCTGATTTTTTTTCAGCACAGAACAAACAAGCATTCAAAGACTGGATTTCAAAAGATTATCAGCTAATCAATTAATCAGCAAAGGGGAGCGTGAGTCTCTCTCTCTCTCTCTCTCTCTGCAAAGAAGCTGGGTCAAATACTTACTTTCCATCATCATATAGCACTTTAAAAAATATCAGAACTCGTTACAACCTCTATTTTGCCGCATCTCTGTGAGATGGGGGCATTATTATTCCATTTGTACAGATAAAACACTTTCTGAGTGTTAAAAGCATTTCACATTCATTACTTCAGTAATAATCTCATATGACGCATAGCCACTGTGGAGAGAGTTATGTGGCTTGTCACTGGATGGCAGGTATGGAACTCAGCACATTTTAGGCCCTGGAATAACCCTTCTCTCTTCTTTTTCCTCAGACATATGTCTTCACTGATAAAGAAGATGATGAGCTACGGGAAAAACTGGGTAATCCGGCCTTTAGTGTTGCGCAAGATCTGGAAGCTGACTTCTGTAAACTGTGTGTCAGGAGCGCTTGGGTAATAGCATCCTTACACGGCTGACCGTGGGAAAGGGTTATAGCTCAGCCACAGGGCACATGCCTTGCATGCAGAAGTCCCAGGTTCAGTCTTGCATCTCTGAATGAGGTCTGCGGAAAACATTTGGGGTGTGTGTGTGTTGTGGTTGCTCCTCCCATTATTTCTGGGTTGAATCAAATGATTTATTTCCTGGTATTGTGCGTATATGTGGTTGTGTGTAAGGCGATCGTGTGAAAGTGGGGGGGGGGAGAACGCCTATACTGTAATAGATGGGATAACTCAGTCTTGACTCAGGGCTCATACATACATGTACTTGTCCCGTGCTGCCTAGACATGGGCCTGAGTGGTTTTGCCTTTGCCCCACTTCTCCCTCTTGGAAAACTCACTCTTTAGTGCTAAATCGGAACAAACAGCAATGTATGGAAAACCTGTTTGCTATTTGTTCTGATTCAGCCCTAAACTGCAGGTTTTCTCTGGGGAAAGTGGCACGGCAAGAGGAAAACTGCTTGGACCCATGCATTCTAGGCACAGGAGAAGCGAAAATGTGGACAAGCCCTAAGACTGGGGAGACCCAGGTTCAAGTCCCTGCTCAGCCATAGAACTCACTAGGAGACCTGATGAGGGGCAGTCAGTTTGGCTGTCTGTTGGACTATGCTCAATCTTCTTCTTCTTCTTCTCCTCCTCCTCCTCCTCCTCCTCATTACTATTACTATTACTATTACTATTATTATTTAGTTTGTATACCACCCTTCATCCAAAGATCACAAGGCAGCTCACAACATAAAATAATTATTATTATATACAAATCAATATAACGGAGTCTATTCTGGGTCTATTCTGAGTATGACTTAAGGCTGTCTGTTCCAAGTCTGGTGTAAAGATAAAAAACCCTGAGAATGAAGAGCCATATCAACCATCAGCACCGGGAGAACAGACTGAGCAGGCACACAGGTAACCTGGACATAGTCTTTTCCACTTTGGTGAGATGTGCTGAGTTTCTATTTAAAGCATACTACTTATTTCTAAATTTGCATGTATACATATCTGCACATTTAATGCAAATTTGCACCTCTTCTACTCCCCCGATATGTTTCCTCTTTATTGGTGATGCAGAAATCTCCACCCAAGGCTTACTTCTGCGTAGACATGCGTAGACTTGCTCTGGCATCGCCAGTTCCAATCCAAATCCGCTTAATCGACAAGGTCCTCAAGGTCAAATACTGTTATGCTTGGCTCTTCAGCTATCAAGTAATTAGTAATTTCATTTGCCGCTGCTTGTGCAGTTCTCCAGAAACACTGAATTAATGGACAGAGCCAAAAAATATGACATAAAATCTGCAGGTATTGAACTGCAACATCAGCTAACAATCTGTGTTTGGTAAATACAACAAACAGAGCGATCCAAACCCCCAATCTATCCACTGGAAGAAGTTTAGAGGAGTTGGAGTGGAGGTATCTCTCTATACCCTGCCTTGACTTGACTCTGCTGACCTCCACCAATGGCAGGGAAGCCCCAGGAGTGAGGAACAGCTCAGTGAACCACCCAAATGGCAAGTAAGTGGAAGCTACCATCAGTGATATCTCTGCTACCAGTAGCATTTCAGGGGAAGGGCTGGACTGGGTCTATACAGGATCTGCTGGATCCTGAGCTGGTCCTACTGCTTTCATGTGTTGACAGCATGCCGGATCTGGGCCTTCTCTTATTTCTTTCTTATTAATAGCTTTTAAATACAAAAAAACAGCATGGGTCATACAGGTTTTGATACAAAGGAACTAAGGAAAACTGGGTACGCACAGGGTTATTTATGGATGATATAGAAGCGTGTAGCTTGTAAATGAAATCCATCTATAAGCAAGACAAAAATACGTAGATTGACCTAGGCAGGAAGGAAAAATCATAGATAAGCAGGAAGAAAAGTTACACATAATTTCTTTTTAAAAAAATATTTTTTATTGATTTTAACATTCAAATTATAAAACGTACCACACAGTTTAACACTTATTCAGAGAGAAGTTGCACATAATTTCAAATAAAGTCCAAGTATTTTGGTACATAGTTTTTGAGGATTATGCGACATATAATTTAAAAATGGCCACAAACAGTTGCAAAATCTGGATTGCCCTCGCCTCATTGTACTTTCAAATTTTATGTTAATTTTTCAGAAACTGCAATAAAGTTTTTTAATATATATATTGCATGTCTAAGTTTAGATTCTTTGCATCCTTCGAGTTCTGAGATATGGTGAAACTCGCAGCCCACCAACATAAAAATGATCAAGTCCTTTGGGTGAAGTTTTACTTAGCCCAATCAGTAAAAACAGACAATTAATATCAATTTGGATTGTGCAGCACATCAGCATGTGCTTTCAGGCTCATTGCACATTAACACTGCTATCCAATTTCCCCCCACAACTGGGCAATACTATCTACCGATTATGGAAGATCTGGGCCTTTTTGATGCACCAGCCTGAGAGCTGGTGGAGCAAAGAGCCATTTTTTCTGCCCCACTTCCCCCGCCCAGCTGTTGTGAGTAGTGGGGCAGTGAATGTTGTGGTGGCTGTGCTGCGAAGCCCTGTCTCTATTGGCCAGGGCTTTGGATTACTCTGTGTCATGTTAACTAGGTGTATCACTGCTATCGGGTGGGATTCACTGAATGAGTCCTGTCATCAGAAGCCATGTGCAAGGATTTCTATTTGAGCAGCAGGGTCCCGCCCTCCTCCCATGTCCCAGGCCCCCCAAATTGGGGTCAAGAGAACCCCAAGAAGAGCACACAGGAGGAGGGGAAGGAAGATCATTCCGTCTGGCAAGCTGAAATAAAATCAGAAGACGGCGACCTTGAATTCCCCCCAAAGAGGTTTTTTTTTTTTAAGGGTGATATTCAACGCTAGTCCTACTCAGAGTATACTCACTGAAGTTAATGGACATGAGTAATGTAGGTTCATTAATTGCACTTGGTCTCCTCTGAATAGGGCTTAGCTGAATACCACTAGTAGATTTTAAACTGTCAGATCACAATATTGGAAGCACAGCGTTCATTATTATTTTTGCACCATAAATCCATTGTAGTTGCTCTTTTGTTGCCGCCATTTTCTCTCCAGATGAGGCTTCTGTTAAGGAGGTCCTAACTCATTTCCCCAGCTCTCAGAGCCTCAATATCATGTTGCTGAGAAAATGAGATCCGTTCCCTGACTAGCGCTATCATTGCTAATGTGATTACTATGCAGAAGGTAATTGGCAACTCTTGTCAGCACCCCCTTGGGTAGTGCCTGGGAGGAGAATAATGACCATCAACGAACCAATGCCATTATCTGACTTTGCTTGATGAGCACTCCCTCGCCTGGTTTTGCTTATCAATAATTTGACTAGGTGTTCAGCAATGAAATGTGGGCTTGTTTTTTTTACAAAGTTAATCTAACTTTGAACTACTGATTCTACTTCGCTCTGTGCTTTCTAGCTAGTGAAAAAAGAAGGAAGGAAGGAAGGAAGGAAGGAAGGAAGGAAGGAAGTCCCTTCACTTTACAATTCCAGCTCAGGCACGCTTAGCCAGTGCCTGCAAGCTGCTGTGCTTTTCAGCTCCTACTTAGGGGTGCAATTGGCAGGACATCCGATAAACTACAGTATTGGGGAAAGCTGTTTCCCAAATGCATTGTGGGTCTGAGATCTTGGGCAAGGGTAAACAAGCTTCACTGGAAGTACTACAAATAGTTTTGTTTTTAAATCTAGAACTATCCACAGCACTCCTGCAGAGACCAGAAGAGACCTGTATCTTCCACAAAATCAAGAGGTGGTAAAGGGAGTGATTCAGTCTTGGTGCACAACTAGGGGATTACGGACAGATCTGTCAGGCCAGAACATGGCAATATTAAACACCTGTAGAGCAGGGTGAGGGATCAGTGGCCTTCCAGAAGTTGGTAGATTACAAGTCTCATCAGCTCTGACCTTTGTTGGCTGGAGCCGATGGCAACTGGAGTTCAACAGTATCCGGAAGGCCCCAGTTTCTGCACCCCTGCTGCATTTATTTATTATTATTTATTTCAATAATTTATATACTGCTTTATGCAGTAGTTTTGACGTGTTGTACGATGAAGTCACAAAGGAGATACAAAGGATGAAATCAGTAAAATTAACCACACAATCAGAAAAGTTTACTTAAAATGCCTGCTGAAAAAAAAAAAGTTTTCACCAGGCAGCTTAAGTTTAGTAGTGAGGCAGGCCTGCTTGATCTCAGTCGGGAGGGAAGTCCACAGAGTTGGGCCCATGATGCTCAAGGCACGGTTGCTGGTCATTGCGAGCTGTGCGACTGACCGGTGGATGACCACTAACAGCAACTCTGCTCATGACCTCCGTGACCAGGCAGGGACATTAGGAATCATGCAGTCCAATCACACTGGACCCAGGTGCTTAAGGGCCTTGCAAATTAAGAACCTTGAAATTGGACTCGTACCATATGGGCAGCCAGTGCATGCTTTTAATCACCAGAGTTATTTGCTGGTGGTAGTCTGTCCTCTCACAAGTTGTCTAGCTCCAGCATTTTGCACTGGTTGGAGCTTCCAGACCAGCCCCAAGTGTAGCCCCACAAAGAGCGTGCTGCAGTAATAAAGTCTTCACATTCCCAATGCATGAATTAGGATCCCTGTCCAAGAATGGCTGTAGTTTCTGTACTAGTCATAGCTGGTAAAAGGCACTGCTAGCCAGGCTCTCTGAGCTTCCAGTGACAAAGATACATCCTGTAGACTCCCAAACTATGAATCTTTCATTTCAAAGGGAGTCCAACCCCACCCAGAGCAGGTAACTGGGCAATGTCTGTCTTACCCTGTATCTCAACTTATGGGGTGTCTAATTCAAGATATACCAGCACTCTTACTTCTCACTGAGCATGGTTGTATCTAGTTTTATTATTTGGTGCAGCAGCTAAGAAAATTTGAGCAAATATCTTGAAGGAAATACCAGTGAATTTGAAAAGGTGATTCACTTGAGTAAGCTAAGTCAAGCGTAATCGCTAAGAGTCTTTATTAAGGATTTATTTTAGCAATGGCTTTTACATTAAATGAGAATTGGGAAGCTCAATTGGTCATGGTTTTTTGCCTTCCAGACATTTTACTTTTTTAAAAAAGCTACCATTTGCAATGGCCTGTGGCTTCAAGCAATAAACACTGGCTGAGTTTCTGACTGCCTCTCACTAAAATGGTGACTCTTTGGAGCCAGCAGACTTAAGACAGTCATCGCAGCAAGCCTTCCTCTGTTCACTGTGTACTCATGCTTATTTAAAACCATGGTGAGCTTTCCTCTCATCTAGGCTATTCCCACCCCACTCTCTAAATCATGGGTTGCTAATATGGCTAGCACCATGGGAGCACATTTGCCCACAGAAGCCTTCCCTGGCCCCTGCAGGATCTTGCCCCTGAGCCCCTCTCTGCTGAAATGAGGTTTGAAAGAAGTCTTTTGTTGTGCACACACGTGTGTGCATTGTTGTAGTGCATGTGCAACTTCAGTGCATGTTTGGTGCAACAGTTTCTCTCATTTGCAAATGTGCCCAAAGGCCTGAAAATGTAGGGGAGCCCAGCTGGATTATCACAATGTGCCCTAAATGGGGCTGCCATTGAAGATGACTAAGAAACTTCAGCTAGTCCAAAATGGAGCAGCCAGATTACTGCTAGGATTCTCTTTAGAATTCCTATACCCCTTGTTTTAAAACAGCTTCATTGGTTGCCAGTTCATTCTGGGGGTGCAACTCAAGGTGCTCATGTTAGTATTTAAAGCCCCAAGACCCCAAATCTCTGAAATAACACCTCCTTCTCTACAAACACTCTTAAGTGTTAAGAGACTGGCAGAGGCAGCCAACTTGGAAGTGCTCTGTGGGGGGCGGGGCAGGGGGAAGAAAAGACATTCTCTGTGGCAGCCCCTAAGTTGTGGAACTTTCCTCCCCATAGAGGTATCTCTGGCACCTTCACTATACAGTTTTCAATGAATGTTGAAGATGCACCTCTTTATGCTGGCCTTTGATGCTTGAGGTGTATACTTTTATGACCCACCCTATTCTTGTGTCTGTAGTTTCTTTTAAACTATTTTTAACATTTCATTTTAAATTGTTGTGCTGTGCCCTGGGACCTTAGGGTGAAATGTGGGTTAATGAAAATAATATACAAACCGGCTTATTCTAATTATATCATCCCCACCCCTGCACAATGACTCTGTGAGGTAGATAGCTGAGAGAAAGTGACAGGCTGAATGTCACCCGGGGAGCTTTCATGGCTGAGTGGGGATTTGAACCTAGGTCTCCTTCAGTTCTCTTCTGGCACTCTGGTCACTACACTGAACTGCTGCAGAGCATTGCTGTGGTACGGAAGACTTGGAGATGTACTGCACAAAGATGCCCTTTGCACTGGGGAAAGGTCTCCCATCTTTGTCTTGTTGAGGGTGTAAGCTTGTCTGTGTTTGAAGTTGCTTTAAATAAATCAAAACAGGTCCAGGAACCCATCCAGAAAGCGTTTCTCCTTTTCCCATTAGGTGACCGTGTGATCATCACAAACTGCTCTGCAGAGTACAGCCATCCAGCACTTTCTTGCAAAATGGCGGCGGAGTTTGATGCCTTTTTGGTTAGCGGCCTAAGGTGAGCAAATGGACTTGAGTTGGGAGATGTGACATGGGATGGAGTCCATTTCTGTCCAAGTTTAGTGAGATTATTTATTGTCAATAAAAGCAAACACTTGTTCTCCATAGTTGGCTTTTTGTGGTCTAGAGGGACGCGGGTGGCGCTGTGGGTAAAAGCCTCAGCGCCTAGGGCTTGCCGATCGAAAGGTCGGCGGTTCGAATCCCCGCGGCGGGGTGCGCTCCCGTTGCTCGGTCCCAGCGCCTGCCAACCTAGCAGTTCGAAAGCACCCCCGGGTGCAAGTAGATAAATAGGGACCGCTTACTGGCGGGAAGGTAAATGGCGTTTCCGTGTGCGGCTCTGGCTCACCAGAGCAGCGATGTCACGCTGGCCACGTGACCCGGAAGTGTCTCTGGACAGCGCTGGCCCCCGGCCTCTTAAGTGAGATGGGCACACAACCCTAGAGTCTGTCAAGACTGGCCCGTACGGGCAGGGGTACCTTTACCTTTACCTTTTATCCAAAGCTCCATTCAAACTGTAGTTTGCCTCTACAAAATTGTCCTAGGAGGGAGCCACTAATTGGAGCCATCTGAGATCACTCAGGAAATGCAAACGGCATTTAGCATAGGTAGCATAAGGAGTCAGCTCCCTCTGATCAACATGCACTACAGAGCAATTGTCTGCTTGCTCCAGGTGGTGAATGCCAAGGTTAGTAAATTAAACTGTGTACGACAATGACTCAGTGACAGAAGTGCAGTTATACCAACTATGAATCAAGTGGCGCCTAGATTTAACTGGTGGGATAGATGCCAAAAAACTGTTCAACAGCTAACTATGACAGGGCAGTCTGGTCCATTAGGGCAAATGGGACACAACCCAAGCAACTCAGTCTGCGCTCAGCCATCCACCAACTGCTTGTCTTCTTTCTTACAATTTGTGTGAGTGTGTGCTTGCACGCCGGTGCCTCTTATTGGCTGTGGCTCCACTCACTGTTGTTCTCCCTGCCTTCCACCCTACCAGTCCCAATGGGCAGCAACCGCCATTGTTATGGAATCAAGTTGAAATTATATTCTCCTTTTGAATCTACCGGCTGTGCATTTCTCCTCCTTCTCCAGCTGGTTTTGCCACCTTGATGATGACAACTACCTGAACCCACAAGCTCTGCTCAAGCTCTTGTCTTCTTATTCTCCGGATCAAGATGTGTATATTGGGAAGCCCAGCTTGAACAGGCCAATTCGTGCCTCAGAAGCTTTGCCTAAAAATCAGACAGTAAGTCCAACCCCTTTACTTCAGGAGTAAACAGCAGGTTGGCTGGGAATTCTAAGGGCAGCTAGGTGAGCTTCTGCATCCCAAACAATAACAACATCTGGACAATTGCTTTGAGGAGAGAGAAGAATGTATACCAGGCTGATCTCAGGAGCAAATGTTGGGTTCCTATCATAAATTTCAACAAAACATTGAATCTCCTCTGCATTCCACCCTTAGCCTATAAGGGAAGGGACTGCATAGCTCAGTGGTAGAGCATGTATGCTGAATACCCAACATCTCCACTTTTCCTTCTTTCAGAAGTCAGTGTATTTTTGGTTTGCCACTGGAGGTGCTGGATTCTGTATCAGCAGGAAGCTGGCCCGAAAGATGGCTCCCTGGGCAAGGTGAGCAGTGACCACTAAAAGATCTTGTATGAATGTCTCTCATTTCACATCTTCCTGCAATGGCTGGGGTGGGGAACCTGTGGCCCTCCAGATGTTGTTGAACTCCAGCTCCCATCAGCTCCAGCCAGAATGGCCAGCGGTCAGGGACAATACAGATTTGCGTAAAGTTTGCATCTGCTGATTTATATGTATGGAGGCACATTGAGCCAACTGTCTGAAGGAAAACTGCTCTGCAAGTGAAGTTTTAACAATTAACCCCCTGAGCCATCCCTTAACAATGCTCCTGGATGGGAGGTTAATAGATGTAAATGAAGATGAACATTTGCTGAAGTGTGCGCCTGCACTCACTGTATCTTTCAAAGGCATTTGCATGTGCACGCTGTAGGGATCAGACAGTCCTTAAGGTACTTTGGACCCAAATTGCTTAGGGCCTTGTGAATTAACACAAGAATCTTGAACCTGGCCCTGTGGCAAATCAGCAACCAGTGCAGGTCTCTCAGTAGTAGAGTAACAGGCTGTTGGTAGTCTGTTCCTGTGAGCAGGTTGGCTGCTGCCTTCTGTACTCCTTGCTACTGCCAGACCAGATACAAGGGCAGCCCCACATAAAGCGTCTCACAGTAATTACATCTTGAGGCCACCAATGGATGGGTGACTGCGATCAGGCTGTCGTGGTCCAGGACTAGTCGCAAATGGCGTACCAGCCAGAACTTACAAAAGCACTCCTGGACTCAGAGGTCACTTGGGCCTCTAGGGATAGTGGTGGATCAATGAGTACTCCCCCAGACTAAACATTAGGATGAAATTTCTGGCAGGAAGAGCTGTTAGGCAGTGGAATGGTCTCCCTCATGAGACTGTGGACTCTCCTTCCTTGTATGTTTTTAAGCAGAGGTTGGATGGCCATCTGTTATGGATGCTTCAGCTGAGATTCCTGCATTGCAGACGGTTAAACTTTGGGGTCCTTTCCAGCTCTACAATTCTATAATTCTATGACTGTTACAATAGGAATGACATGTTTTGGGCCTTTGGCACTATCTTAGAACTTAAGAAAAAAAGAAGGAAACTGATTTGAAAACAGGTGCAGACTTTCTAAATGGCAAATGAATATGCATGACGTTGGTCAGCCAAAGGTGATGACAACCTTTGTTTGAAAACCATATGTTTAGGGAAGAAGTCATTTGTTGTAGGGCAGGGATGGGGCACGTGTGGACCTATAAGTTGTTGTTGCTGGACTCCAGCTTCCATTAACCCCAGCCGGCATGGCCAGTGGTCAGGTATGATGGGAGTTAAATCCCAATAATGATTTGGAGAGCCAAGGGTCTCAGTCTCTGATGCAGAGTGATATTAATGCACATGGGTCAATCTCCACTGTAATTTGAAAGTTGTGCTATTAGTAGTATTAGCATTACTACTTTTTGATCTCAAAGCACAATGTTTACATAAGATGAAGAAAAATCGACAAAATATATATGAGACGAAAGCAGGGAATATACCAAGGAGAAATAAAACCAGCTGTTTCAACAACAAAAAAGTTACAAAAACAAAACATATGGTTGAACATTATCATTAAATTTTTCATTCCAGTAATGAATAAACAATGCCCAGTGTTCTACAAACTTGTTATCTAACTGGCATCTTTCCCAAACCCTTATATAATATGTCAGTTCAGTCATTTTACAGTCGTTAAACTTGGAAGCGGTTGCACTTTTCTTCTTAGCTGCCAAATTAATCTTGATTGTGCACAAAAGGTTAATAATAAATTTAAGATCACGTGTCCCAACCTTTCTAGGTATATCACAAAAGATAGAATCGTTTGTGAATCAAATGGTAATTGGTAATCTATAACATATTTTACTATCCTAAATTATTGCTTGTCTGCCAATATATTTGTATTTTGGGGCAACATGACCAATTGTGAATAAAATCAGCTGGAGCGGAATCATCCCACTAGAAATCTAAAACACACAGATACACAAACACACCCTAAAGTAGCTCAAAAAGGATTTGATTGCACTGATCCTTAGTTTTATATACATTTTCTCTCAAGTTCACACAGAATAATTTTGAAGGAACATTGTCCCAAATCTAATTCCATCCATTTTCTATGAATGTTTGAATCTTTCCCCTATTTTCCTTGGTACCACTGAATTTTGTTTCGATTAACATCCAACACCGATCATGGCCCCGACTGCACTGGCTACCAGTTTGTTTCTGGGCCCAATTCAAAGTGCTGGTTTTGATCTTTAAAGCCTTAAAACGGCTCTGGATCACAATACTTCAAGGACCAACTCTCTCTTCCTCTTCCCATATGGACCAACCCAGACCCCATGATCAACATTTGAACCCTTCTCCGTTTGCCCCCTCCACGTGAGGAGCAACACGAGAATGGGCCTTTTCTGCAGTGGCTCCCCATTTGTGGAGTGCTCTCCCCAGGGAGGCTTGCCTGGCACCTTCATTACATTTCTTTAGGTGTCAAGCGAAAACATTCCTCTTCTTCCAGGCCTTTGGCTAATTAAACAATCTGTAGCCTTTTAAACTGTGTCTGTGAGGGTACTGTTTCTGTTACTTACTATGGTCTGTATTTTTGCTTTCTATTTGGTAAACCACCCTTTGATCCTTGGATGTTGGGCAGTACAGAAATATTCATCATCAACATCCTCATCATATATGACCAAATACTTGTTTTTAGTCTCAGTAGGAGATATTTACCTTTCCCACTGCAGAGCAAACTAAGAGACTTGCACACCCTATGCCTGATATCTACACTAGAAGACAATGTCAGAGGGTCAAGGCCCTTTCGTGTTGCCCTTTGCTATGGCTCACTGGTATGCATACTAAAGAGGAAGTCCTTCAGGAAGTCCTCCCCACTAAAGGAAAAATAGAAGATAACGATGTCCAGGTCAGGCAGTCAGGGCTTCTCTCGCCATGTACTTCCTCCCACAAATTGATTTGATGGTTTATCCCTCCTTCAAACTGGTTTGATGGCTTGCCCCTCTAAAATGCTGTGTGCTTAACAAATACCATATCTGGAAATCCTGGGGTGAGGAAAGCCAGAAGATCTTACACTAGATGTTCTTTTTATGGCAGTGCATTTCCATTATACACAATTCTTCCTAATTAAATTATACCACTTCAACAATTTAAAATTTCCTAACAGTCCTAAATCAGGCAGGACCTTATAAATATTGAACAGATGCTAATGGTGAGACATTTGACTCAGTTTAGGTTTATAAATCTTCCATGTCTCCCATACAACTAATATGTACTAAAGGACAGTGTATTTCCTTTAAAATCTATTCTGTCTTATGGCATAATATAATAAATAGTTCAGGGGAAGGGAATTTTTACATCCTAGTGTCCCAATTCTGTGCTTTTATCAGTACCAAACATTCCCTTGCTGCTGCTAAGGGTGATGAAAGGTAGCAAAGAAAAAGATTTGATACAGCTAATTGCCTGCTCCCAACTCTACTGTATGTGGCAAAGACGCATGCCAGTTTCATTCTCATTTTTTGCCTCTAGCCCGAATGAACTTAGTAATATATTGTTGCCAGGTCTTTACAGTTATCAGTATAGATAGGAAGAACCATAAATAATGGTTTGACAAAATTATTATCTTTACTGTACAGATTGTTCCAAACCATTAAATCTTTAAATTAGCCCGTAACAGAAACTTCTGCATTTCCTTAATCAAGTTAACATAATTATCCTCAAACAACCTATTCAAGCAATTGGAAGACTATATTCCAGGTATTTAATGACATAGGTTTTCCAGGAAATTTCAGAAAGGAGGTGTGCTTCAACTTTCATTTGTTTCTCTGTGTTTAATACCAGAATTTTGGTTTAAAACCCCCTGATCTTATAACAAGATACTTCATTGAAAGAAGTAGCAGACAAAGTTATTGTAATGAATTTTCATTCCTCTAGTAAAGTCCATCCAGTCCAGTCCATAGGATTTATTAATTTTAGCATTTTTCATCATTTCCCCCTAGTAAATAATGACTTCTGGTTCTATTGCATTTTCAGGAATGAAATACTTTACTTAAAATATCATATATATTGTCTAGAAGACTATGAGCACAAGTCTAACCAAGCCTATTAAGAAGTAAGTCTTATTGAAACAAATGGGGCTTTCTCCCGGCTAAATTGGGTTGGGATTGCAGCCTTAACAAACGCTTCAGATATGTTGCACATACAGCCTCTCCATGTTTGCATGAAGAGGAGTCATTTCCTTTGCTACTTTGATTGCCAGGATTTTTGCCAGCCTTTCTCAAATTCCGTACAGCCAATCTTCCAATGATTGAGGACCCCATAACATAGAAAGACCCTATGCACATACTATAGGCTCTCCTCTACAGCTTCTTCCCTCACTCGTAAGCAGTTGGGGGAGAGGGGTACGACAAGAGGACAGTGGCACAGCCCCACTCTCTCCCTCCATGTGATCACAGTGGTGTGAAGGACACTGACCCTGTTGCAATACATTCAAAGCTTTTCCCATGGTGTGGCTATACTATACCAGTTTTTGCCAACTGGGTATTCTCCAGATGTTTTAGACTACAACTTGCATCAGCCCCAGTCAGCTGGCTGGGGCTGATGGGAGTTGTAGTTCAAAACATCTGAAGCATATCAGATTATGATACAATACGATAATCTTTATTGTCATTGTCCCATACAGAACAACGAAATTGAAAAATCTACATAAGACATTCAAAAACCAACAAGCCTGCTATCCAAGCTATGCCAACCTGGTTAGCCCCCTAAAAACTCAGATACCCCATTTTTAAATACAATATACTCCCATAAAAAAGGTAAAGGTAAAGGTACCCCTGCCCGTACAGGCCAGTCTTGCCAGACTCTAGGGTTGTGCGCTCATCTCACTCTATAGGCCGGGAGCCAGCGCTGTCCGCAGACACTTCCGGGTCACGTGGCCAGCGTGACAAGCTGCATCTGGCGAGCCAGCGCAGCACACAGAACGCCGTTTACCTTCCCGCTGGTAAGCGGTCCCTATTTATCTACTTGCACCCGGGGGTGCTTTCGAACTGCTAGGTTGGCAGGCGCTGGGACCGAACGACGGGAGCGCACCCCGCCGCAGGGATTCGAACCACCGACCATGCGATCAGCAAGTCCTAGGCGCTGAGGCTTTTACCCACAGCGCCACCCGCGTCCCCAATATACTCCCATAGAGACTCCTTATATTGCATTTAAAACCAAAATCGCATTTGGGTAGAAACTGTTTCTCAGGCGGCTAGTCCTAGTCTTTATAACCCCGTACCTTCTTCCAGAAGGCAGAAGCTGAAAGAGATCATTTTCGGGGTGCACACTATCCTGCGCTATCTCTGCAGATTGTTGAAGGCTCTGTGATTCTGTTCTCTTATGAGGATCATGCCTATTTTAAATGGATCAGTTCCTACACATTTTCCCAAGCTTTTTGCTCTCTTTAAAAAACAACAAACAACAAACCTTCTGCTTGCTGATTTCTTTTCTTTTTTTGTTTATTTAAATAAGCTGAAAGTTTAATTAACTGCCCTGTCACCACTGACTTCTCTCCATCCCAAATAACGATATGACCCATAGTCTGTATGTGTGTTAGTTTAAAATACTGCTGAATTTTTTCCTTGGTAACATTCTTAAGCAATAGAGTATTTAATTTCCAAGACTGAAACGAAATGGTATGTCCATCTTTCAATTACATGGTTATTGGCGCAAGATCTGCATAAAGCTGAGACTCTTACCTTAACATCTACTGTTTGTGCTAAAACACCCACTGTGAAGAGACAAAATGAATATATACATGTGAGTAATGCAGTCTCAGGTCAATGGATAACAACACCTCCATGAATCAATAGGCTAAAAAAAGCTCTCGAGTCTAGATTCTTCATAATACTTCTGGAAACATTCCAACCAGAGAGACCACATCTTGATTTGTCCAAACTCAATGGATTTATCTAACTAGAGTCCACTACAATCCCTTCCTACAATCATCTTGCCCTCAACAAAATTTTGCAGGCATTGAAACAGTCCTGGATTCCCTCCCTCTCCTTTGTACCAACAATTATATATATAAATACATCCTAAGGTGCTGTTTTGATCTACTACATATGTGCCTTTCACAAATTGTCTATTCTCATATGCAAAATAATATAATTTCTTTTCTTTTTTAAAAAAGACCAATTTGACATGTATTTTTAACAATTGCTACTCTCCTTTTTAAATAAAACAGGCTGCAAAAATGGCTCCTAACTTTCATGTTAATTGGTTATGAACAGCACTGGGGACAGATTTAGGCACTTTGTAGATTCAGTATTTCCAAAATATACAGGGCCACTGACAATCTCTTATGTGTCTAGCAGAAACTAATCCCTGGGGTCCACCAAGACAAAGGGCCAGGTTTATAAGCAAACAAAAAAACAAACAAAACAAACAAGAAATTAAGGTTGCAGTCTTAACCTACCAACTTGCTATAAGTCTTATTGAATTCAGTTTCTGAATAAAGAGTATATAGCAGAGTTGGGGAACCTGCAGCCCTTCAGATGTTTCTGGACTTCAGCTCCTATCATCCCTGTCCATTGGCCATGTTGGCTGGGGCTGATGGGAGTTGGAGTCCAACAACAATTGGAGGGTCACCTTTTCTAAAACTCTGGAATAATAACACTCCAACATCTGGTGGCCAATGAACTGAATTGTGGGCCTCCAGATGTTGTCAGGTCCCAGCTCATTTCAGGCCAATGGTGAGAGATGATGAGTGTTCTAGTCCAGCAACATCTGAAGAGCACCACATTGGCTAACCTTGATGTAGATGATGGTGTTGTCAGCCTGCCTAACTTCTGTTGACCTCTGCCTTAACAGTGCAAGCCTGCTTGTGTTTTCTCAGGAGCCCCATTGTATTCAGTGGTGCTTACTCCCAGGTAAAGGTGCATAGGATTGCAACCCAAGACTATTACAAACTACATATTTTTGAACTCCAATAGCAATGGCCATGCCAGGACTTTCCCTCCTTTCTCTCCCTCATCCCATTTTGCTGAACATCCAGCCTGAGACATTCTGGAGAAGTCAAAACTTTGCTTACTATTTGTGATATTTTAGTTACCCCCAATAAATGTATTACCCCACAGTAGTTTTCAGCACAGCTACCTCTCTCTCTCTCTCTCTCTCTCTCTCTCTCTCTCTCTCTGCATTCAGTTACCATCCCTCCCACTTCTAAATATGGATTTCTTGCAGGGGAAAAAAACCCCAGCAGCTTCCCTTCTCTTTTTGAAGTTTTAAACCAAATAATGAACTCATTAATTTTCATATTACACAGGAAGTGGGCCAGGAAAAGGAAGCTGCCCTGTTGAGGAACTTATTAGCACATTTGTCTCCTTTACACAGAGTATTGATTCAGACATCTGATTTGCAGGCAAACGGGGTTCAAAAGGAATAGGGTGGATTTGTTGAGCACGCATTCTAAGAGTGAAAAGACAGCTGAATCTAGAGGCTCGGCCATTAACTGGTTGCAGTTTAGAGGACTACAAAGCTAGCATCATTCATTGGCTTTCCCCAGACTGGTGCCCTCCACATGTTGGTGGGCTATGTAGCTTTGCAAGAGTTCCCCCCTAATGGATTGATGTGTGCATAAATACAAGGGAAGCCTTTTTAATCCCAGAGAACAACTCTTAAGAACCTGAGCTAGAAGCTTCCTCCTCTTTGATTCTCTGAGCAAACACTGATGGGCCAAAACTAGCAGATGTACAAGAATTGAACAAAGCTTGACCTCCAAGTCATGATGGCTATATATTACTGCCAGGAATGTAGGCACTTTATTATTACTAGTACTGAGGCAGACATTGGTCTATCTAGCTAGGCATTGTCTACACTGCCTGGCAGCAGCCATCCAGGATTTTCGATGGGGGTTTCTCCCAATCCTACCTGGAGATGCTGGGGATTGAACCTGGAACCCTCTGCATGAAAAGCAGTGCTCTGCCTGGGGAAAATTGCTGTCAAATCCAACAGTGCATATTCTTGTTACTTGGTGAGCTTAGGAACTAATGACCCCAGAGCTGTATTGCTGATAGGCAGAGACTCAGACCATAGAAATGTAATTGGTAGAGAGGGCTCTGTGTGATGTCATTTCCCCCTCCTCTCTTGAGTGGGAAGAATCAAAGAAGTGTTTCTATTCCTTCCCTTTCTCTTTGAGCAGCCATGCAGGAGGGCATCTGACTGTGCCAGGGGCTGGCAGGGCTTTGAAGAATGTGTGGTGGAGGTAGGGGACCAAAGGAGTGGCTTGTTCTCACCCACCGCATTCAAGAAATTCAATAACAGAGTTGTGCACAATTATCATTCTGCGATGCTAATTAAAAATAGTATTTAAACCCAAGAAAATGGCTATGATTGTAGTGCCATACAACTTGAGCCACAATTACACAGATGTTTATGTATGTGTGCCACCTCTCAGCCCTACCTGCCCACTATGATATAATTCACATTCCCTGGGGAAACATGGGTCTTCCACCCTCCCCACTGTCAGATTCCTTTCCTTAATTTTATGAAATGAATGGATCTGGCCTGCTTTGTTTTCCAGTGGCAACAACTTCCTGATCACATCTGAGCTCATCCACCTCCCTGATGACTGCACCGTGGGCTATATCATTGAACGTAAGCTAGCCGGTCACTTGGTCCCTAGTGACCTGTTCCACTCTCACCTGGAGAACTTGCACGTCATCCAGGGTCCCCAACTTACTAAGCAGGTGAGATGATGCAGGAAACACCATCTTGCCCTTGTTGGAGAGAGTGGGCACTTTCCAAATGAACTGTTTTTGAATGACAGTTCAGATGCATGAAATTGCCCCTCCGCTATGCATTTGTTGCCCAGAATCCAATCATCTCCTCTTGAAGTTGCACATTGGTCGCCGTGATATAGCATTTTCTCAGTCGAATTGGGATGTGTTGTATTTTGTACCTGGGGGTAACATAATTCTTTCCCCAGATGAACTCATCCATTGCTACTGAGATTGCTGGGGCCAGCCTTACACTTTTCGCTACCGCCTGTGGCATGATATCTCCCCATCCATTATGTGTGACCAGATAGCCTGCTATTGTCTTTGAATGGGGATTCGCAAGACTATCAAAATGCGGCTGGGGTTGTCTGGATAAGAGAGAGAGAGGGGGAGGGAGGGAGGGAGGGAGGGAAGGAGAGTCAGGAGAAGGAGAGAGGAGCAGGCAGGAAAGCAGTCATTCACATCATCTCCTCAGTAATTGTGACACTGATTGAATCAATCATGCATTATTTAGAGGAGGCTTTCCTGACAAATGCTTCCCCAGACACTTCTCTGCAATAATAGGCAAGGGGATGGAAAAGCAATTAACTAGCCAATAAAACTTCTGCCAGTCAAAGTCCAAGAAAAGGCAACTCCTTCCACTCAAGAATAGAAGTCCAATAACTTGCCCTCTTCTCCCATGAGGGCAGTGTGACCCAATCAGCAGAATCACAGAGCGAAACTCTTGCTGGACTGTACCAGTTTAGAATGCAGAGGGTAGGCCACATGGTTCAGGGGCGGGGAACTTGTGGCTCTCCAGATGTTGTTGGACTCCAGTTCCTATTGGTCCCCTTCAGCACAGCCAATGGTCAAAGGTGAAGGGAGGAGCACCTAGCAGCCAATGAAAAGGCTTGGTAAGTTAGAACACTTCTACTGTTGTTGCTGTTGTTAAAAAATGTATAAGTTGCTTCATAGCATGAAGCCATTGAAGCACTGTATAAGATAAAGATAGAAAATAACACAAAAATGCAAGCCTTAAAAACAATGAAATAATTGCAACAAATTCTGAAAGCAACATAGCCATTTCTGCCACTATGCTGTTAATATTCCATAAATGACTGGGTCAGACCTTCGGGAAACCTTAAACAAAAACGTGTTCAGTAAGTACCAAAACATTAGGCACCTGTCTAATTTTGGCAGGTGATTGATTCCAGAGGGCTGGAGCTGTGATACTAAAAGCCCAGTTTCTAGCACAAGCTAAGTACACACTCTCTCAGAAGTGCCCCATTATACCTGGTATAGTGGTTTCTATGTTGGTTTTTTTAAAAAACCAAACACCAACAGCATTGGGGGGGGGATGGCGGCAGAGAGGTTTCATCTTGAATACTCCATCCCAACTAGAACTGCCCCCATGTGATTCTGCTGGTTATATCCTTCAGCTCTTTAATCTGATCCCTTGCATGGCAGTTGCTCGAAGGCAGAAGAGATGCGAAGAGCTTGGGAAAATATGGCTAAACCTGTGTTCCCAACAAGTCTGGAGCACCTGGAGCAAACAGAGGTTACTAAAAACTACCCAGGCATTGTAATTTGGCTTTGAATAGTTTTCAGGTAGCAGAATGCATGTGTGTGTAATAAATTGGAGAGGGCAGGAGACTTGTACGGCTGAGAAGTATCTTTGGCTGTGATGCGTAAAAGGAGTTTGTTGCCCACAGGGCATGTATATTCCTCAGTCATCTTTCTTCCTTTCTGGTATTTCCTTGTAGGTCACTCTCAGCTATGGCATTTTTGAGAAGAAGCTCAATGTTATTGAGCTTTCCGGTCCTTTTTCTCCACAAGATGACCCTTCCAGGTATCTCCCATGAGAGCAGATCTTTCACAACGTGCTGGCAATGTTAAGAGGGCTTGAAGGACAAGGATAAAAAGCCTGAATAGAGCCAAACCGGGGGTACCAGCAGAGCTTTGGGTGGGGACGATGCTGATGAGGAGCAGAAGCCTGCAGTCCTACGGCCAGAGCTGAGCCGAGCATTTCTGCTGCTCAGGGTTTGCTCTCTTTTATCACCCTTTAAGCTCAGCCTTTATTGCAAAGTCTGGAACCGAAGCCAAACATTCAAGGTTATTCAGCCCCAAGGGGATGGGCAGGGCGTACTTTGGCTGAGGCGCCTATTAAATCTACACAGGATTAGAGGGTGAGAAGCATCCATCTAGACATTTCGCTGCAGTGCAGTGTGAGAGCATCTGGTGTTGGATGGGGCACTGGGGAGCATGTACTCCTCACATGCAGCCCTTTCCCCATCTGCAGCAAGAGCCGTCTCTTTACATTCCTTCTCTCTCTCCCCCCCTCCTTTCTAGGTTTCGATCACTTCACTGCCTTCTTTATCCAGACACTTCCTGGTGTCCACAGCCAGTCATCCTGTGAAAACTGCTCAGAATGGTGGAGAAGAACACGAGAAGAGCCCTGCTGGACCAGACCAAAGATTTACCTAGCCCAGCCTTCTGTTCTCACAGTGGCCAAGGGGCCCAGGGGCTGGCCACAAGCAGGACATCAATGAAACAGAACTCTACTGCTCCTGATCTCCATCAACTGATGGAGATGCATGAGGCAGTTCACAGCTATCATGGCTAGGACCTCTTGATAGCCTCATCCGTCACAAATTTGTTTATTCCCCCTGTAAAGCTGTCAAGTATTCCAAATCCCTCTTCAACAGAGACCACCTTAGCTGTGTGTTGACTTAGCTGAGGGCTTTATTGATTACTGAAGGAAGAGCTAAGGCAAGAGGGGAGATAGGTTAAAGTGTGTGGCAAGAGGATGGATTGAGAGCTACTCTTCAAGTTATGTCAAATGAGGTGTTGTTGTTTAGTCGTTTAGTCGTGTCGTGTCCGACTCTTCGTGACCCCATGGCCCAGAGCACAGTCAGGCACTCCTGTCTTCCGCTGCCTCCCGCAGTTTGGTAGTTCTTACATTTCAGGTTCCTATGCAATATTTTTCTTTACAGCATTGGACTTTCCTTTCGCTTCCATGCATATCCGCAACTGAGCGTCCTTTCGGCTTTGACCCAGCCGCTTCATCAGCTCTGAATCTACTTGTACTTGTCCTCCGCTCTTCCTCAGTAGCATGTTGGACGCCTTCCGACCTGAGGGGCTCATCTTCCAGTGTCATAACTTTTATATGCCTGTTGTCTTTGTCCATGGAGTTTTCTTGGCAGGGATACTGGAGTGGCTTGCCGGTTCCTGCTCCAGGTGGATCACGTTTGGTCAAAATTCTCCACTATGACCTGTCCATCTTGGGTGCCCTGCTCGGCATTGTTCATAGCTTCTCTGAGTTATTCAAGCCCCTTCGCCATGGCAAGACAGTGATCCATGAAGAGGGTCAAATGAGGTAGTAGACTGCAAATGTGACTGCCCTTGGGCCAACTCACATAACATCTGCTGTGAATCATATCTCCTTACATGCCACATGTACTTTCATGTGGGACTCAGTTCATATGCCTTGCCTATGCTATCGCTTTTCATTTTGATGGATGTATCACACTGATGACCTGGTTCATCACATGTGATGCTCTACGTGTGCCTGAAGATATGTTGAAATACGCAAGCCTGGTGTTTTTCCTGAAAGTGTCACACCACTGCTTTTGAACTTTGGGTTCACAGATGTTGCCAGACTACAAATCCCTTCATCCATGGACATTGGCTGAGCTGGCTGTGGTATGTGGGTACCCAAGGTTCAAGAACACTGTTCTGTATGCTTTAGGGACCAGGGTCTTGTCAGATTGGCATTCTACCCTGACATTGACAGCATCAGTTGTGTCACTGTTGCCTACAGGGATGGACATGTGAGGCAGTGGGGAGATTGGAGCAGTGCAGATGCACCAGCAGGTGTGCCAGAACATTTGCACTGCATGGACTTTGCTGCCAACTTGCCCCTCCTCCTCTGCCTCTCAGGAAGCAGCAATGATGTGACTGATGGGTGGTTACCACCCCACCACCCTGTCTCCTGCTGGTCATTGAGATAACCATCAGAGACTTCTCTGGGTGTACAAATTGCAAAGATTGATAACAGTCAAAGAAAAATCCAAGAGCAAAAAAAGATGTGAACCATGTCTCTTGTGCAGTTGTCCTCTATTTTTGCTTTCCTCCTGGTGACCTAAGGCAGGTTGTGACTAGAGAGAGTCTCTGGGGCCATAGGCCAGTGGAAGAGCTTCTGCTTTACATGCAGAAGGTCCCAGGTTCAATCCCCAACATCTCCAGGAGGCCCTGAGAAAGACTTCTGTCTGAATCCTTGGAGCATCACTGTCGACTCACTATATTGCAGTGCCCACCTTTGGAATGCTCTCCCCATGGAGACGCACCTGCCATTCCGGTACTTTGTTTTCCTAGGCTTTGCCAGACATTGTAAGGCACTGAGAAAGTTGTGTTTTCATCTGCTACGTTTTTACTCTTTTTATCTTTCACTGGATGTTCAAATATTATTGCATTTAATGTTTGATTGTATTGTTCCGTTTTTATTGTGAGTCACTCTGGGAATGCACACTTGTTGAAGGTGTCGGATGAGCAAAATTAATCAATGCATAAAATGTCCAAGAATGATTCTCTTCTCACTGAAATCTGAAAAGGCACCCTTAGCTGTATCTGCAGTAGCAAAAGTAATGGGAGGCACTTTTGTTTCTCTACCAATTAAGGCAGCCTTCTCAGTTACGTCCACGTGTGCCCAACATAGCACAATTCAAGGTTCTGGCCTTGACTTATAAAGCCACAAGGACGTATGGAAAGCCTGATGGATCAGGCTAAAGTCTGAGTATCCTTCAGAAATCCTGAACTGGGTTTTGGCAGAAGCAAAGTTAGGGGTAGTAATAATAATACTGGTAGCAACAATAATTAATTATAATTTTGCGTGGGGTAGGGTTAGGCTGAGAGATGGTAACTGGCCAAAATGAGCATTATTACTCTGCCAGAATTTGAACTTGACACCTTAATGACATAACCACACTAGTGCCATTTGGATTTTGCACCTCAGGCACCAGATTGTTTAGGGCTAGCTCTGCCTCTTTGTGAATCAAATCTGATGATTTTGTTAAACCACTTTCTAGGGATCTGGAACTTTGGCATTTCCTACCAACTTCTCAAGCAGCAGATTTTTAAAGGGCTGCCCTTACTCTAACATTCTACGTGACTCTACACCTTAACATTTTGTCTCTAAGGAGCCTGTTCTTTCATCTGAGAAGTTCCTGGCGACAATCCTGGCCTTGTAACTTCCAGCTATTCCTCCCTCTGAGTACACAGAGGCGTGTGAATCAAATAACAGGGCACTGATCAAAAGCCCTGGGAAAACGAAGCCTGCACTTCAATGAAATGTGAATCAGTGTGCGTTCTGAAGCTCTTGGTGCGAAATGAACCTTTTAAATAAATAAATAAAATTTGAGTGAATGGATGGTGGAGAATTCATTTTTTATTTTTTGATCAGGACAGAAACTTAAGACCTTTTGCAGAATAATCCACAGTCTGTAAAAGGAGGTCCCTGTCTTTAGTCTGTCCAATGCTTTGAGCTCCAAAACTTTAAGAAGAACCATTCTATCTGAAGAACAAAAAGAAGGATAAGCAGTCCTTTCTTATGGGGGTACTCAGGGGTATGCAGTACCAGCACCTATTTTCCCCCTAAAAGACATGCACTGAGGATAAGGAGACCAATGACCACCAACCTGCCCACAGTGAAAGTCCCTACGCACAAGAATGAAAAGAACAAAATTGTATCTGCAATATACCACACAAACAAACATGCCAATTACTATGAAATACCAGTAATACTCCATTTCAGCTAAATGTAGTCTTTCTCAAATTTATATAATTTGGGAAGAATTATTTTTGTGCTGAGCTTTAAGGCAGCATCTCTCCTTGAAGTTCGACATGAAAAGACTCTTACCCGAGGGACTAGGACTGGGTTAGGCAAACTCAATAATAGATTACATTTGGGGCTTATCTACACTGAAGCAAAATGTGGATTTGCACCTGCCCGTCTCCCCATTAATGTAGGCGGGGGTGCATCTGCAAGTCTTCCTTATCTTAGTGTTGTCCTGGACCTCCCCCTGCCCCGCTCCCATCCTTTAAATGTAGGTTTCCCCAATCCTGGTCATTCTGAATTTTCCAAGCATTGAGAAGCCCTGCAATTAAAAGGAAAGGTCTGGGGTGATGCTGGGATGGGGAGGGCATCATGTAGATGCCCCATCATTAGGTAAAGGTAAAGGTACCCCTGCCCGTACGGGCCAGTCGTGGCTGACTCTGGGGTTGCACGCTCATCTCGCTTAAGAGGCCGGGAGCCAGCGCCGTCCGAAGACACTTCCGGGTCACGTGGCCAGCGTGACAAAGCTGCTCTGGTGAGCCAGCACCAGCGCAGCGCACGGAAACGCCGTTTACCTTCCCGCTATAAAGCGGTACCTATTTATCTACTTGCAGTTAGGGGTGTTTTCGAACTGCTAGGTGGGCAGGAGCTGGGACCGAACAACGGGAGCTTACCCCGCCACGGGGATTCGAACTGCCGACCATACGATCAGCACGTCCTAGGCACTGAGGTTTTACCCACAGCGCCACCCGCGTCCCGCCCCATCATTAGGACAACACTAATGATTCAATTCTCATCATTGCAATTTGACATAGAAACAATACATAACCATGCCAATTGAACACCAGTAATAGTCCCATTTCAACTAAAAGCCGACTGCACCATTGAAAAACATTGATTTGCCCCAATCTGAATCCCCGCTCCCCATTAATGATGTTTTCAACATGTATCCCCAAATAGTTAAGATATTTCCAAACCAGCTAGAGAGCTCAGTTGGGGATAACTGTCTCAACATATTTCCATTAAGAAGGATTTGGGGATGTTGTACTTAGATCATAAGCAGAACAAGACTTAGAAATACAACGTTTGCTGTGAATAAGGACCAAAAAAACTATTCTGAAGGGCTTGATTGTAGCAAAGCCTGAGAAGAGGGTATAAAATGTCTGTAATGCATGAGGTAGGAGGGAGAGAGATAGAAAAAAAATATCTGGGCTTAGAAAATTACTTGGCTTTGAAAAAGAAAATTAAATGGGGAATATAACATTCACCAGGTTTTAAAATGCTACCATAAAGATGATGTAGAACACCCGGTTGTCCACTGAGGGAAAGATAAGATCAAATTAATTGGAAGTACCAGCACTGTAGACCAGATTGGTTGTCTTGGGTTATTCTGTGCATATAGAATTTGCTGCAGAATATGGTAGCCTGTTCAGAATCCTAAGTATCTCACTATCTATCTATCTATGAAATATGCCAAATCATCTCATGGCTATCTTCCAGCATGACCAAGAGGTAGCAGGGACTATGAAGATTGAGGGTTGAGGAGTGACTTAGCAGCAGTTGCAGCAGTAGATTCATGCCAATACACGAGAAGATGAATAAAGAGAGGTGTTGGTTACAGAAGAAGCCAAAAGACTTTGCCATAGCCCTCAAGACAATGACTTATCAGAGGGCATTTTTACATCTCCTGCTCTGGGTATTGAACGAGACACTAGATTCTACCTTTGTTTCTCTGAGTAAAACAGGGGTCATGTTTGTGGGCTAGGGCTCACACGCCTCTTCTTTCCCTCCACAGCTGCTGGGGCACCCCCTGGCCACCAAGAATATGGCAGGGTGCCAATTACGCCCTCAGGGCATGATTTCCAAGCATGTGGTATAGCAGCTGTGTTCAAACTAAAGGCAATGACCCTGGACACAGTTGTCCCTTCCTTAGGGAATAAAGCTGGGGATTCAGGCCATGAGAGGGAAGTGCTCTGTGGCTTGTGGCATCATTCCCCACCCCCACCCCTGCCAGCCTGAAGACATTGTATAGCCCTCCTCTGACTCAGAAGACCTCAGCTTGGAAGTACTAGAGCTGGGCGGTCC